CAGTGACCATTGGAATCACATTGGGGTTTTGTGTGTTTTGATTGAATTTCCATGGATTTCCACCTTGATTGAATATATCTGTCCCCCAGTCAAGGCCTCTGGGGCCCCCGGACAGGCGGCTGAACGCCAGAGATTCTGCAGATCCTGTTGATGGAGAAGGTGTCGTTTTCGCGCCTGCAGGAACTCTTCACAACTGTCCTCTGTGTCCCTTGGCTTCGGGAATGAAGAAAATCGCGGTATTTGAGAAGTTTCGTATGAAATATCACTATTTTTGAGACGTCATCTTCTACGTATAAAATCCATAAATGGCCCAAGGCTTCCGTAGCAAATTGTAATGAATTACCAAAGGTACGAGTATCATGGAACCAGCACCAAAAATGGCCCATGGTCTGTGCCTCTGAGCGGATGCCGCCCAGCACCAACCAAGTCAACAAATCCACCAGCATGGTCTGCGCACGCACCTCCAGAGGGCATTCAGGGATCATCGATCATCAGGGTACCATACATTAAAAGAAAAACGGTGCATGTCTTCTCATAAACAAACAATTGTGGAGAACCCAAACATTTTATAGGGTTATAATAGTTATAAGATAGTGGGATGATAATGGGAATATCTGAGGCAACCAAGCACTGTGCCAAAGGGTGAATCGTCGTCACCCAATTTGGAAACACCAGAGAAACGTCGGCATTTTCAAAATGTTCAAAAAGGAACAAAAAGGGCCATCAAACAATGTGTTGTTTTGGTTGTTTACTTCTTTGTAATATTGCCTTCTAGTTTCGAGGTTTGTTCAATTCAAGACCTACAGTAAGCAACCCAAATGGTTTCCACTCACCTTAGACCTCAAGATGTCTCTATATTTGGGGATGAACCATTCAATGTGGTAGACTTTCACATTCTAAATTCTAGACCGTACCCGATTCGCCCCAAACTAACATCCGGGGGACTGGGGGATTTCACACACACAGAGGGGAAACAAAAACGTGTCAAAAAATACAAAGTCATACTTAACTTACAAACCAGAGGTGCTGATATTTACATAACCGTATATCAGATTGGGTTTCCATAACATTGGCGGTGTTCCCCATCAACTGGTCCTAGTTGGGCTGGTCCGCCGCCTCCGGTTTCCGTTTCAAGTTGGCCAAGTTGGTGGCACGTGCCTGCCGTCGGGGCTGGCACCTCATCAGTGCGATGTGAATATACATGTTAGGCATAGATAAATGAATATACAAAAATAGCTATATGGTGTATGCACGCATAACTTGTACATATGCATGTGCACATATATATATATATATATATTCTCTCCTCTCTCTCTCTCTCTCTCTCTCCCTGACTCTCTCTATCTCTTACCATCAGGTCTGTTAGCAAGTCCAGCTGCCAGTTGATGTGCAGGTCCAGGGACCTCGAAATTAATGGCCGTGTAAACAACCACCAACCCATATATGTGTCAAGTATATAGCAGTATATATGCGCATGACTACCCTCAAAGGGTTTTACTTCATTGTTCTATGTACTGCAAATGAACATGTAAATGAGTCTATGTATCTATCTAATCTAGCCGAATCTAATCCAATCAAATCAAACCTACCAATCTATACCTATCTACCTATCTATCTATCTATGTACCTACCTACCTACCTACCTACCTATCTATCTATCTATCTATCTAAGAAAGTATGTACCTAAGTATCTATTTATCTAGCTATTTATCTATCCCATGTACTATTTCTCTATCTATCTATCTATCTACCTATCTAGTCACCTATCTGCCTACCTATCTATATGTCTGTGTGTCTGTCTATCTAACTCTCTATCTAATCAAATCTAATCGGATCGGGTCGAATCGAATCTAATCTGTCTATCTATCTCTTTATCTAAACTAATCTAATCTACTATATTCTATTCTATTCCAATATATTTCAATCTACTCCACCCTGATCTAATCAATCTAATCTATTTATCCATCTATCTGTCTATCTAACTATCTATCTGTCTATCTATCTAATCTAATCTAATTAATCTAACTAATCTAACCAAATTTAATCTAATCTATCTATCTATCATATCTTTCCTTTTTGGGTGCTCCTGTAAAAAATGATGCTTGGTGACGATGAAGAGACAACCATGACGGCAACGAAGTCAATGATATGTGTGCGTCTAGAATCATCGCCCTCCGAAAGGTGATGGTGGTCCACAACATGCCAAGAGAATTCGAAACCGCCGGGTTTTCTTTTGTTGCGAAGCTGCTGCCAAAGGACTTTGCCAGGATAGCAGTCGAAACAATTGATTAGGACCCATACAAGGCGAAAGGTTGAGAAACCTGAGAACCCTTCGCCCGCCTCGAAATGCCTTGAGGCAACACAGGGTCACAAAACTATGCAGGAGCACTGGTGGCGTAGCCGCTTTGCTGCTGCCAGCATGTACAGATATAGCAATTATCAGCCATGATCATTTCACTAGAAACGGCCGCTCGACACCCCGTCTTTGGGTTGAAAAATGGCCACACTGGGCCATACTGTAAATGATTTGATTTGGGTTTAGGACCATGAACAAGATCCATGCTGGTTGTGGGACCAACACCCAACACAACAGGATCTGCAGGGTGCAGGTGCTCAATGGGCTCAGTGGGCTCAGTGCCAAGGTCAGTCGCTCCATGCAAATCGTTCCCAAGGGATCTTCCACCAGTCGTTGCCAACCTGCGCAAGTTGGGTGAGCAATGAGCGCAGGGAGACACAGCACATAACTGCAACAAATGATTGTCCTGATCACATCTCTCATTTTCTTCCATTTCGCTAGACATCTGTATCAATTTTTCCCAACCTTCATGCCCTCAGGGTAAGAAGAACAGAAATTACACTCAAAAAAGAAACCATGGTTTCTGGTTTTCCTGGACTACAGTACATGTCCTGGGCTACAGTAAAGGGAATATTGAATATTTAATCACGGGCCAGGCTTGCAGGTTAAACATTGGAGTCTTGAGGCCTTCTCTCCGGATCCTGTCCCCTTCTGACAATGGGTTCTCTATTCTTCAGTTCATGTTTAGCACTTCCAGTTGTACCCAGCAGCAAATTCACTGTTTGGCGCTGTAGAAAAACAATATGTTCCCGAAGGAAATTATCGACAGATCATGTGTGTCCCATGTAAAGATATATTTTATATATTTATATTTTTCAAAGTTTAAATATTTTTTTAATATATTCATACATTTATATATTTCAAATTTTAAATATTTATATTTGTATATTTATACATTGAATTATTTATATTACATATATATATATTGATATATATATCCTAATATTTATATATGTATAGATTCATATATGCATTTATATGTTTATCTATTTTTTATATTTGTATATGTGTTTAATTTATTTATTTCAATATTCATATGTATTTGATATTGATATATTGATATATTGATATATTGATATATTGATATATTGATATATTGATATATTGAAATATTAAATACTTATAATTATTTATATATATTCATATATTTTTTAAATTTATATATTTGTATATTCATATATGTACCATATATTGATATATTTAAATATCTTCATTTATTTATTTATTCACATACGTATTGAAACCAAATGTATTTCGATACACCATGGCCAAATTGCAGCATGGGCATGTACCAGCAGCAAGGGCACGTCATATCATCAACAATAGGTTGGAGCACTGTAAATGACATAAATCAATTGATTTGTGTTAGGCTACTTACCCGATGCACATTTTTTTCTTCGTATGGCAATGGAAATGTATGGCACTTCGGATGTGGAACTTGTTTAGTCTCGGTATGCCACTGCCGCTGCTTGGGTTTTCTTCAGTCCATCCGTCCGAATTACAGCGCTATATCCCCCTTGTGTTGCAAGACATTTTGAATAACCTAATTTGGTTTTGATTATCGACGTCACCACATTTTGGCCCAAGCCCAAGGGCCCAATAAGAGTCAATGACCCCTTCCCAAAACTGAAGATCTGATGCTCCAAAATGCAATCCCTCTCAGGAAATCAGCGTCCGGACCTCCTAACATCTTTGATGAACATGTCTCTTCTACTGCGCCTGCCACTGAAAATGCATCTTGCCAGATCCTCTTCAAATGTCCCACGCCTGCCATCGTTTTCTGGAAATGCTACAAAACCTTCACGTTTTGCTCACTTTTGACAAGGTGCAAAATCCCTTGCGCCTGCAGCGCAAAACGACATCTGAACGTCCAAAAGTGCTCCGTACCCGTCAGTTTTTTACACTTTTGACTTGGAAACGTGCTTCGCGCCACAACGAACGGCGTGCACTGTTTCGACATCTCAACCTGGTGTGCTTTGTACATTTTGATTTGGAAACGTGCTTCGCGCCACAATGGCATGCACTTTTTCGACATCTCAACTTCCAAAAGTGGTCCGAACATGGTGTGCTTTGTACATTTTGACTTGGAGATGTGCTTCGCGCATCTTCGCGCCACAACGGCGTGCACTTTTTCGACATCTCAACTTCCAAAAGTGGTCCGAACATGGTGTGCTTTGTACATTTTGACTTGGAAATGTGCTTCGCGCATCTTCGCGCCACAACGGCGTGCACCCCGGGACCTTCTATGTTTACCCTGCGATCCTTTGGCATTAATAAAATCAAGGCTGTACATGTAGTTGTACAATTCTCTAAATAGTAGGATTGTTGTCTGGCAAATGTGAAACATAATGAGCCATTGTATGGCCAAAAAAAAATGCGCTCGTCGCGAGCAGGGGAGCAACGTGGTGTTGCCCAGCAAAAGGGACAGACCATCAGCCCTATAGACGCCGTCGCAAAAAAGGGCAGTTGTCAACTGACCGGAAAAGGAGAACCCCAGCCACCCGGCCACAGGAAAAAGGGCGCTGGACTCAAGGCAAAGGCCAGCCTCGAGGGTGAACCAAGGTGGAGACACCCAGGAGTTGGCTCAGTGGCCCGCTCAGGAAGGTTACGGAGAAGTCACTGAAGGTCCATGATGGTGCTTCACTCGAGTCGCCGCATTATGGCCCTGGCATTCTCCCGGTGCAACGCAATGCCGAGGGCCTGCAGCAAGCGCTGCAGTTCCACGGAGCTGCTTTCACTTGTCCTGGCAGCGATAGCGGCCGAGAGGGACCTCCACGTTTTCAAAGCGGTTGGGGGCAAACAAGATGATGAGTAATACGGGAAGAAAAGGGGTACTGACCCTATTGGTTCTGAATTTACCCAAAAACGGGGAAGAAAGAGAATTGGGCACGGACAGTAAGTAGAAGTGGGGGCAAAACAGCGAGACAAGAGACAATGGGGGGAGAGAGGGCGGTACAGGTGTTAGTGATTAAGAAAAGAGAGAGAAAGGTAGTAAAAAGCACAAGATTGGGGTGAAAAAAACGAAAAAAAAGAAGTAGTAACACTAACAAGCGAAACACGGTGTGGGGATAAGGAGGGTTGGGGGGGGGGAGGAGGGTACGAGGCAAAAAGAAAAATGGACAGCAGTGAAGTTAACCAAAAGAGGAAAAAATAAAAAGGCTCAAATGGTAAAAGGGGGGTAGCAAAGAAAACGGGACGGAAACAAAAAGAAGAAAGACCGCCCATACACTCCCCCTCCTTCCTCTTCTCCCCCAAGATGGAAATGAATTGCAGGCCCTCAGTGGCACAGGCCTGCAACGTGTCCAAGTGGTGGCACTTCCGAACTTCGTAATCCATGCTCGCTTTGCTGCCGTCAGCGGCTGAAGCAGCAAGGTGGCCTTGCCGCAAGCCAGAAGTGACCGCAACATCGAAAAGCGGCAGGGCCATGAAGGTTCCAGTTGGCGATCCAGACATCAGCTGGGCGACGGCCATTTCCACGAGGCTGTGATCCATCTTCGGTGCCCCCCTGGAGCTCCGGCCGTGGAGGGAGCAAGTTCGGTTTCTCGACTTCCGGTTGCAAGCCAGCAGCGCGGGCACGCCCTGCCAGGATGTTGCGCAGCTGGTTGTGTCTCTTGACCCTGTCGCCCCCGCAGGGGCACACACGGGCGTGGTCCCCGAAGCTATCTGAAGTGCCATCACACAAGGGGCAAGCCATGTCAGAATCGGCAATAGGCAAGCGAAGCCGCAAGCGGACCATGGTTCGGAAGAGGGGAGTGACCACATGGAGGCCCAAGGCATCGTTTGGAAAAGCGTGGAGCCAGGCCCCTGCCCCTTCTTGCTGCAAGAGTTGGAAATGGGCTCGGTAAGCTTCTCGCCCAGGGCCAGGCGCGGCCAGCTGCGCGATCACAACCCGGTCCAGCGCGCGTGACAACCCTTGTTGCCGAGGAGGGTGCGGGGCTGGGACCGGGAAGTGGTCGGCAGGTGGGAGCGCGAGGTTGACCTGGTGCAAGGCGGCGCCCTGGTCTGCATCATAGTTGCCATCGATTTCTTTGCACAAGGGGGCGGTAGCCAAGAGTGAAGCCGCGTAGCCTGCAACACTGTGCCGGGCCACGCTTCGTAGACCCAAGCCCCCAGACCTCGTCGAAAGAGAGGCTTGCATCCAGGCCTCCGGTGTGAGTGGCCCACTGCACCCTGCCTCTAGGCCGTGCACTTTTTCGACATCTCAACTTCCAAAAGTGGTCCGACCATGGTGCGTTTAATAATGTACATTTTGATTTGGAAATGTGCTTCGCGCATCTTCGCGCCACAATGGCGTGCAACTTATCAGCTCTCATCTGACCACATGGCTCCGCACCCGCCGCTTTAGCGAGCCTATATACTTTCAACCCTCCGGAGCCACAAACCATTCGAAAAACACAATGCTTCGCGACTTTGCTACCTTTTCGCGCACCTGCATCTTCTTTCTTCTCACTCTTACTCTTCTCTGATCTTCTCTCTTCTGCTCTCCTCTTCTCTGACTCTTCCAACCTCTGCTTTTTCAATCTGTCCATATTGTCAGAAGTTTGACTTCCAAACTTCCTTCAATTACTACTACTACTACAACTACAACTACAACTACAACTACAACTACAACTACTACCACTACTACTACCACTACCACTACTACGACTACCACTACCACTACCACTACCACAACCACCACGACTACTACCACTACTACCACTACTACCACTACCACTACCACTACCACTACTACTACTACTACTACTACTACTACTACAACACCTACTACAACACCTACTACAACACCTACTACAACACCTACTACCTACTACTACCTACTACTACCTACTACTGCCTACTACTACCTACTACTACCTACTACTACCTACTACTACCTACTACTACCTACTACTACCTACTACTACCTACTACTACCTACTACTACCTACCACTACCTACTACTACCTACAACTACCTACTACTACCTACTACTACCTACTACTACCTACTACTACCTACTACTACCTACTACTACCTACTACTACCTACTACTACCTACTACTACCTACTCCTACCTACTACTACCTACTACTACCTACTACTACCTACTACTACCTACTACTACCTACTACTACCTACTACTACCTACTACTACCACCTACTACCTACTGCTACCTACTGCTACATACTGCTACCTACTGCTACCTACTGCTACCTACTGCTACCTACTACTACCTACCTACTATCTACCTACTACTACCTACTACTACCTACTGGTGCCTACTACTACCTACTATTACTACCTACTACTCCCTACTACTACCTACTACTACCTACTGCTACCTACTACTACCTGCTACTACCTGCTACTACCTAGTTGCTACCTAGTTACTACCTAGTTACTACCTAGTAACTACCTAGTAGCTACCTACTATATATACCGACCGCCTGACAGATAGAATATTTGTCACTACCAGACACGCGAGTGAGAAAATTACCATCGGCCTCCCACTCAAAAAAAACACCACAAGATAGAATATTAATATATAATATTCACAAATAGTCACAGAACACCCCCTTGAATATTCTATCTTGTCAATTTCGTGCATGCCTGTGCAGAAACCTTCGAAACTACTGATGAATTTTGAAGCAACATGGTGCTACTGTGAAATGACGTTAACCAAATTCAGCTTTGGGATTGCCAACAATTCTGAATCCAACATGTTGCAATATAGGAACACCCCCTTGAATATTCTATCTTGTCAATTTCGTGCATGCCTGTGCAGAAAACTACTGATGATTTTTGAAGCAACAGGACGCTAAGTCAACATGCCAAGTGGACTCCCTCCTGCCACGGTTATATATCTATATCTCTCTATATAATATTTATATATATACACATATCTTGGAAATCAACACGCACGCATTTCCACGCAATGGAATGCTTCCAAATATTTAATTTGGAGCCGTGTCACGCCAGGGTCTCGTATCTTGTCCGTTTTCGTATTTTTGACCCTTATCAAAGCTCAAAGAATAACATTAAACAATTGAAAAGCAATGAAAAACAATGAAAATGAAAAATAGGAAAAAAACAATGAAAAATGATGAAAAAGAGAGAAAAAACAATGAAACATGATGAACAAGAGAGAAACAAACAAGGAAACATGATGAAAAAGAGAGAACAAACAATGAAACATGATGAAAACAAGAGGAAAAAGCAATGAAAAATGATGAACAAGAGAGAAAAAACAAGAACAAATGATGAAAAAGAGTGAAAAAACAATGAAACATGATGAAAAAGAGAGAAACAACAATGAAACATGATGAAAAAGAGAGAACAAACAATGAAGCATGACGAAAAAGAGAGACAAAAAAACAATGAAAAATGATGAAAAAGAGAGAAAACGCAAGAAAAATGATGAAAAAGAGTGAAAAAAACAATGAAACATTATGAAAAAGAAAGAAAAAACAATGAAAAATGATGAAAAAGATTGAACAAAAACCAATGAAAACTGATGAACAAGAGAGAAAAAGCAAGAAACAATGATGAAAAAAAGTGAAAAAACAATGAAACATTATGAAAAAGAAAGAAAAAACAATGAACAATGATGGAAAAAATGACAAAAACAATGAAACATGATGAACAAGAGAGAAAAAGACAAGAAAAAATATGAAAAAGAGTGAAAAAACAATGACACATGATGAACAAGAGAGAAAAAACAATGAAAAATGATGAACAAGAGAGAAAAAAACAATGAAAAAAAAAATGAAACATGATGAAAAAGAGAGGAAAAAACAATGAACGACAAAGATAAGGAAAACTGAAGAAAAATAGAAAAAAAACAATGAAAAATTATGAAAAAGAGAGAAAAAAAGCAATGAAAACTGATTAAACATGATGAAAGTGTTTTTTTCACTGTTTTTTTCTCTCTTTTTCATCATGTTTCATTGTTGTTTCTCTCTTTTTCATCGTTTTGCATTGTTGCTTCTCTCTTTTTCATAATTTGCCAGTGTTTTTTCCTCTCTTTTTCATCATTTTTCATTGTTGTTTCTCTATTTTTCATCATTTTTCATTGTTGTTTTCTCTATTTTTCATCATGTCTCATTGTTTTTCTTCTCTTTTTCGTCATTCTTCATTGTTGCTTCTCTCTTGTTCATCATTTTTCATTGTTTTTTTCCTCTCTTTTTCATTATGTTTCATTGTTTGTTTCACTCTTTTTCATTATGTTTTCTTGTTTGTTCCTCTCTTGTGCATCATTTTTCATTGTTTTTTCCTCTATTACTCATCATTTTTCATTGTTGTTTCTCTATTTTCATACAATTTCATTGTTTTTTCTCTATTTTTCATCATGTTTCACTGTTTTTTCTCTCTTTGTTTCATCATTGTTCATTGTTGTTTTCTCTCTTTTTCAGCATTTTTCATTGTTTTTTCCTCTCTTGCTCATCATTTTTCATTGTTTTTTCTTTATTTTTCATAATTTGTCATTGTTGTTTCTCTCTTTTTCATCATGTGTCCTTGCTTTTTTTCTACCCGTTTCATCATGTTTGATTGTTTTTTTTCTATGTTTCATTATGTTTCATTGTTTTTTCCTATCTGTTCATAATTTTTCATTGTTGTTTTTCATCTTTTTCATTTTTTTTATTGTTTTTCAATGCTTTTCGAGCTTTGATAAGGCTCAAAAATACGAAAACGGACAAGATAGAATATTTTCGAGACCCTGGCGTGACATGGCTCCAAATTATATATTTGGAAGCCTTCCATTCCGTGGATTTTTTTTCTGTATGTTTCATTGCTTTTGTTGTATTTTTCATATTTTTTTCATTGGTTTTTACTATTTTTCATTATTTGTCATTGTTGTTCATTGTTTTTGAATTGTGTAATCTTATTCTTTGATCTTTGATAAGGCTCAAAAATATGAAAACGGGCAAGATAGAATATTTTCGAGACACTGGCGTGACATTGCTCCAAATTATATATATATAATTATTTATATATATATATATACATTTGGAAGCCTTCCATTGCGTGGCTTTTTTTCCGTATGTTTCATTGTTTTTGTTGTATTTTTCATATTCCTGGCGTATCAGATAAAAGCAACAATTTTTGCTACGTAAATCCCAAAATATTCAGACTTGTTTCCACCACGTTTTGCTTTAAAACCGCAAATTGAGGGTGTGAGGTGCGACCACGCGGTGGACCGGCAACAGCTGTGAATTGCGGGTAGGCATGGCTCCAACTGACTTAAACCCAATAAAACCTATACAACCGCTATATATATAAATATGCACATAAGTATTGTGAAAATCAACACAAGAGCATTTCCACACACACAATGGAAAAAATCCAAGTAATTTGGAGCCATGTCACTCTAGGGTCTCGAACATATTCTATCTTGTCCGCTTTCATATTTTTGAGCCTTATCAAAGCTCCTTCCAGAACATTAAACAATTGAAAAACAATGAAAAATAATGAAACATAATGAAAAATAGAGAAAGACAAATGAAAAAATATGAAAAATACAACAAAAGCAATGAAACATACAGAAAAAAAATCCACGCAATGGAAGGCTTCCAAGTATATAATTTGGAGCCATGTCACGCCAGGGTCTCGAAAATATTCTATCTTGTCCGTTTTCGTATTTTTGAGCCTTATCAAAGCTCAAAGAATAACATTAAACAATTGAAAAGCATTGAAAAACAATGAAACATGATGAAAAACGGAAAAAACAATGAACAATTATGAAAAGATAGACAAAAACAATGAAAAATAATGAAAAATAAAACAAAAACAATGAACCATGATGAAAAAGAAAGGAAAAAACAATGAAACATGATGAAAAATAGAGAAGAAACAATGAAAATTTATGAAAAATAGAGAAGCAACAATGAACCATGATGAAAAAGAGAGAACAAAAAATGAAATATGATGAAAACAAGAGGAAAAAACGATGAAACCTGATGAACACGAGAGAAGAAAACAAGAACAAATGATGAAAAAGAGTGAAAAAACAATGAAAGATGATGAACAATAGAGAAAAAACAATGAAAAATGATGAGCAAGAGAGAAAAAACAATGAAAAATAATGAAAAATAGAGAAACACCAATAAAAAAATATGAAAAAAAGAAAAATCAATGAGCAATTATGAAAAAGAAAG